TTAGCACAGAGTGGGGAGGGGAGGGGGGGAGCAGAAGACAGGCAGATGCCTGCAGAGACTGCTGAGCTTCAGCAAGGCAGCAGAGGGGAGGAGCCAGTCCTGCTGTGAAGCAGAGACCCCCACCCAGCCAGAGAGCATGCTGTGATGCTGGGGGAGTCTGGTTTATCTTAAACCAGAAAGGGGCCTAGGACAGACATTGCATAAACCGGTTTGAGCCACATCAGTTCAGTTTGATACTACATTCAACCAGGTTTATCTCAAACCGGTTTCAGCCATTTTCAAACTGGTTTATATGCACTGAACATCTGTTCTGCTACAGGTTTAAACCAGTTTCTGATCACTTAAACTGGTTTATGCATAACATCTGTCTCTAGCCTGAATGTTGCAGGCGATATACACCCTGGTCATGACAGCCCTTCAATTAGCCCCCTTTCCTTCCACGGCAGGAGTGTGCTGGTTCCCAGGACACAGTTCGTCACAGCCACAGAAGCTGGGGCTAGGATTAACCAGACAAAATGAAGTCACTACAGCTGGTAAAGTAATCCAGCACCTAATGTAATAAAACCAAGTACACTGAAAACAATAGCTTGAATGCCTGCTTCAGTCATGGTAGTGTTAGAATGATATTGTAGCCATGATGGCCCAGGAATTGTGAGAGGCAAAGATATTTTGGGGTCATGTTTTTATTGGTCATGTAGCTGGGATAAGAAGAATGCCTTGCATTCAGAAGCTTTTGGACTTTATCCCAGCTATGCAATTAGTCTAATAAAAAATGTCACACACAAGTCCTTGCCTCCTGCTCCCTGTCATGTTGTCTTTGTCATGTCATTACCACAGGCACAGTAATTGAACCTTTTTTAAAAGGCATATTCTCTACAGTGGTACCGCGAAGCTTCGGTCCCTGATTCAATTTGGTGGAGATTCAGCCCTATTCAGTGGCTGAATCTCCAAATCTGAATTGAATCAGAGGACCCTTGAATCTCGCTGAATTCATTCGGACAGATTCAGTGATTCGGATATAGGTACAGCTTTAAATGTTTTTTCTACGTACCTCTAGGTAGCAGGGACTTGTGAGTGCTGCAGTGCTGGGCCAGATGCAGAGTCCCACAGAAGCACAAGGGGCTTCCCTGTGTGCTCGGCAGCAAACCCGGAAGTGGACTAGAAGCATTTCCAGGTCCACCAGGGAGTGCACTGGCGGGGCCCCCCATGCCCTCCTGGCTTGGCG